TTGAAATTAGTATTTATTAATGTTATTTGTTTATTTTATTGAATGTGTCTATCTTAAAATATTATTTGTGTACGAAAAATTTATGGGATTAATACATACGTGGCTACTCTAAAAAAATCTTTAGATTCGCTATTATTTTCTCTCTTTAATTTATTTTTAAAATTCTTTAATTACTCGATTAAATAGATTTTATGTATTTAGAAAATAATGGAAGATTCAACCGAAGGTGAAAAAGTCTACAATCAAAATGTTTGAATAAGTTACATGACGTTTATGAAATTGGGTGATGTAACTTACCCTCGAAGGATTAGTCTAATGTTGTTATATAAAATAATCGAGTTATTCGTCGAGCGTTCCTGAATTATGATTTATATTTCAAATTAATCTTAAGCCATGCTTTGTGATTTGGGTTCAAATACTAGCATCCACAAATTTTAAAATTTACATAGGCTAAACCATTAAAATAAAGGATTATTATCTCGCACATTAGCAATAAAAGATATTTTAAAATTAAATTTTTTAATATCTTATTTAAGATTTAGTATTTATAATTAAATATTTTAAGATTTAGAGTTTAATTTTGTATCATTTAAACTTGCTATATGGTAACAATATAACCCCGATTGTATATAAAATAACTACCTTAAAATAAAATAATAAAAATCGAGATAAATAAGTGGGGTGAGAGTTTTAACAATTAGGTAATTCAAAATTTATTTATTTGTTTAATTTGTGTGGCGGAGGATATATATAACAAGCTGGCTAGTTGAATTCTCAACTTCACATTTCACAATAAGGACGTTCAAGTCCTTATGAAAGCACAAGCGAATCATTGTCTTGTATATATATAAATATATATAATTATTGATATTTAAATTATTGACTAATTAATTTAGATCCAAAACGGTAAAAGTTATTTGTAGAGATGATTCTCTTGACATATTTACTTTATTCATAACACTAAAATTTAAATCGTTGACCTTACTTAAAGAATTTAACGTCTCGTCTCATTAAATTAACCAATATTTGATGCACACCATCATATTAAAATTATAATTTAAATAAAACTCTAACTTGAAGAAGAAGAAGAAAAACTCCACTAGTATTAATAAATATACGTATACAAACATAGTTGATTATAAAATCCTAGGGAGTTATAGCTAAAAATTTTGTTCAACATATACAGCAGCAGATCTACTCTTGTATGAGAGTGGATGGGTATTTATCATAAACTTTGAAATCCTTTTAAATAATTATTTATTTTATTGATTATTCTAATTTTAAAATTTTATTATGTCCACCTCATATAAAAATTTTATATTATAAGTATATGTCTATTCTAAAAAATATATTTTTAGACTCATTGCTGAATATATGGTGACAAATTTTATTTTATTCAAGTGTTCTTCCTTTTGAAGATTGAATGTGGACTGAAAGGCCAAAAGTTGATGAGTAAAATTTGAAATGTTTCCCGGTAACAATATGCTTTTCGTTAGCTTCCTTTCTATACCGCCAGGCTTCTTTCAAAGAAACGTCGACATCAAAGGATGGGAAAAAGAACAAAGAATGTCCGCATAATTTGACAATTCTGATTGGACCCAAAGACTTCTTGCACTTGTGTTTGGTGTGATTTCGTACGGTAAACCTATGCTATTATACTTGACCCCAAGGCTTCTTTCCCATGCATGCACATTGTCTTATCCACAAATTTGAACCTAGCTAATAACATGAGATTTTGTGGAGGTGAATCATTATAATTTTGATATCATAGTAAGTTTATCTTTTCTATCATAATTTATTTTTTCCTAGAGTTTTCTACATAAAATTTAATATTTTTATTTTCGATTATGTTAATTTTATTCGTCAGTATGCTTTTGATTATCAAAATTGTGAATTATAAAATAATATGTTTAATAGGGTTCAACCATTTTGGGGCACGGGGTTTCAGATCTCTGCATGTATATGGTCAAAAGCTGCGTCTCCTAGTAGAGTGAAATGTTCAAATTCTCTCTCTCTCTCTCTCTCTTTTTATCTCTTTTAAATAACTTTAATTAACGTTGGTCCATGAATTCCAAGTCAAAGTAATGGCAGCCATTTCTGGTGAAACCCCGAAGAAAAGTGGAGCAGCCGACGTGCGGGAAGAAAACACAGTGAAAACCCACCAACTTTCTTTCCGATTATAAAGGCACAGAGACCAAATTTCTGGTCAATTCAAAATTATCGTATGCTCATGCACGTAATAATGTATTCTAGCTGCATGCGTGTGATTGAAATATATATACGTATATATAATTGGTTTTTATAGCGAAACAATTATCTTTTATCAGATTTAAAATTTAATGTTTTGATTTTAAGATTAAGAAAGAAAAAAAGCATTTCAAATGTCGACCAATCTTAATCCTTCACACCTAACTAAATATTATATATATTGTTCTGCAAAAAGATTTAAAAAACTATATATTCTATATAAACCCTAAACCAAAATTTCAAACCAAACATTAAGGCAAAATCAACAATGGAGAAAAAGAGAGATGAGATGATCGAGATTCACGTTGACCATGAGAAGCTTAGCTACCCATGCGGCTCACGTTCTTACGTAGAAATTTGGTGTATGTTTAGGTTGTAGTTGCACAGTACACTTTTACTACTAAATACTAGTACAATATTAATATTATATACTAACGAGGATAGAGGAACTATACAAAAAGTTATGATGATGATGATAATAATAATAATAATAATAATAATAATAATAATAATAATATAATAATAATAATAATAAAAGAGTTAACTCCATTACACATCCTTAAATTATGCATGATTGCTTGGATGACTATCTTGGATAGACTACCAACTAAGAATAGGCTTCAACATATGGGCATTATATCCGATGGCTTGTGTGTTCTGTGCAATGATGGTAGAGAGACAAGAGACCATCTGTTCATTGAATGCTCATTGGCGAATTCCCTTTGGAAGGCCATTCTGCATCTCTCCGGATTAAGGCCATCTTCTTCGTCCTGGCACAACTTGTTAGCATCGGCTTCTCATGCTTGGAAAGGTAAATCTTTACTTATCACTATTTTGAAACTCGCATCGTGTGCATTTCTCTATTCTCTATGGGAGGAACGAAACAAAAGGTTGTTCAAAGGAAACTCCAGGAATGAAGCTAAAATTCTTAAAGTTATCAAGGAGATAGTCAGAACTCAACTTAGAGGTCGAAATATTAGACTTGATAGTGTCAATATAACTCTTTGTAAGAATTGGAGTATTGAATAACCTATACAATGTTTTGTGAATAGGTTGTTCTCGATTTTAGGTTGCTTTTCCATTGATGATTGTTTTGTAGCAGAACTCTGCTCCTTTGGGTAATAAAATTTTAATTTATCCAAAAAAATAAATTAGGACCCTCATTTTAAATTGATCCATAAACTTTGGATGTTTTAATTTCACCCTCAAACTCTGGTATTTATTTTAAATTGATTCTCAAACTTTTGAAATTTCAATTTCATTCCAAACTATCTGTATATGTTATACACTTCTCTGTTAATAAAATTGTTAGGACAAGCTATATTATTATGTGTTTGAAAAAAATTAGGTTAAAATATAGTTAAAACTAATCATATATTTGAATGAAATTAGAAGATTTAAAAATTTGAGGACCAATTAAAAATTAAAAATTACCATTTAAAAAATTAAAATATATAAAAATTTAAAAGCTGATATAAAATAAAAATTATAATTTAGGAACGTGTTATGACTAACTCTAACAAAAATAAATGGATCGGGTGTATTGAATTTGAGTCATGATACTGATAATATTGTTACATGCATTTCAAGGAGTTTATAACTTTGGTGGTTACAAGAGAAAAACATTAATGTACTTCATTATCTCAATTTGACTATAAATTTTTTATTAGATTAAAATAATTATGAGGTAATATTTATTTAAAATATTCTCAATAATTTATAGTCCATGGCTAATTGATCATTTAGTTCAAAAAAAAAATCACTCGTATAGTACTCAAATTCAAAATTTTTAAAAATTACATTTATTAATCAGTGAGATTATTTGATTTATTATGTTTTGGCTATAAATTATTTACATTATTAAGGTATGTTTATGGAGTAGCAACTTATAACACACAGAAGATAGTTAAGTTTTAACAGAAAAGAAAAAAAATATGATATTAGTTATTGAGAGAAAATTTGTTTAATCAAATAAATATTAATTTGATTAGTATCATTATTGATATAATATATAAGAACAAGATGACATAAATTTAAACATATTTAAACGTGAGATATCGTTCGAGTTAAAAATAAAAAACAGTATACGTAATTTAAATAGTGTATCAAAAAATGATGGATTCTACACTCTACAAACTACAGTACCATCGTGAGGGTCTCGGTACTATCCTGCGAATCTTCCCTTATCCGGTTTTTATAATACCTTGTATGGCTTAATCGGACTATTCTTTGAGAAAATAGAGAGAGGGAACATTAGACTACTTGGGAAACGGATTTGGTTACTTAGAGACCCTGAAGGTCCAGCTGATGCAAAAGGCCTAAGGAGACTTCAACACCTCATGGGCTCTCCATGCCTTAGTCTCTAAGTCGTAGGCTTTAATTCCAAGTCCAAACGACATCGTTCACGGCTGCTTACACCAGTAATACGTTCGTTTCAACAGAATCCTACGAAACTCCAAAAATCACGGCCTTACAGCCACGTACTCGTTTCAGTTTTACAGCGAAATCCAACCCCCCGAATCCACCGCCGCGTAACAGCCGTACATTTTGTTCATCAATCACAGTTAAGGGTCAATGGCTGAGGTTAAAGCAAGGAGCATCACCTTGGTATTCTCGGGTATGGTGAGTTGGAGCCCACCGAGTCTAGTAAAGTGACAGGTAGCTAAAACCTTCAGGTCTTTTCTGTTTGTTTCTCGGGATTCTTGCTCTTTCCATCCCCCCTCTTTTATATTTCTCTTTCTGCTTCATCTTTTTTCTACACCTCATAGACTTTACCTTTCTCTTTGGTTTCTTTCGTCTAAGCGGTGAGCATTGTTCTATATGTTCCTCCATTTTTCTTATGCGTTTTTTTTAAAATTCTTGTTTATAGCTACTGTTTTGATGCTGATATTTTGTTGATCGGATTGGATTATTCTTACCTTTACGATTTTTTCTTGAAAATTTTTATTCATTTTGATCAATCTTTTTTCTTTATCCTCCGCTCGTTAGCGGTGCACTTAGTTCTTTGCTTGATGAGCTGATATCAAGTACGACATGAAATGAGAGAACTCAATTTTTTTGAGTTGACAGGAGTTTAGGATTTAGCCTGAATTTTGAAGGATTAAATAGTTGTTCATCTTCGTTTCTTCTTCGTGCTAAATAGCTAAAGCAGTTTAAAATTGAAAAGGATATGCATGTAGGGAACTAAGGGAAGCTGAAAACAATAAAATATTTAAAATGCTTTAAAGGTTTTTACGGAATTTATGACTCGCCGGGTTCAGTGTTATGGAAGATGGTGTTGATATTTGTATTTCTTCATACACGCATGCGTGCATACTGCATATATCTCCTTCTTTGCCCGTCTGTGTTTTATCTAACAACTGAGTGGCGATGTGGCGATATAGGTTAACATGGGAACGACTTTCAATGTGGCTGTGCAATCGTTGTTTATCTCTTCCCTTTTAATTTCCGTCGTAACTGCATCTAGTGATGGATTGGTTAGAATTGGGCTGAAAAAGCTGAAATTCGATCCGAACAACCGGCTTGCTTCCCAGCTCGAATCCAAGGATCGAGAGGCTCTCATAGCATCTATGAAAATGCATCACTTCCGTAACAATCTTGGAGACTCTGAAGATGTAGATATGTTGCCTTGAAAAACTACATGGATGCTCAGTACTACGGTGAGATTGGTGTAGGAACTCCACCGCAAAAATTCACTGTTATATTTGATACTGGCAGTTCAAATTTGTGGGTACCATCATCTAAGTGCTATTTCTCGGTGAGCCCCTGTGCTTATGTTTACTATGAATATGTAGGAAAAAACTGTTTGCTTTGATAGTTGGGAAAGCAAACTTGTTTTGGAGCAAAGGATTAATGTTCTTTCATTATTATGTAGATTTCATGTTATCTCCATTCCAAGTACAAGGCAAGTGAGTCGAAAACATATAAGAAGAATGGTATGTCTTCTCTTTTTGTTGCACTCATAATTGTTTTATAAACTTGTTCTTTATTTTAAGGACATAAGAACAATCTTAAGTTCTTGGTTATATTCATTTTAATAGTAATATGTCTTCTCTTTTATTTTATTGATTATAAAATAATATAGTTGTATTATCGTATTTGATGCAGGTAAATCTGCTGCTATTCACTATGGCACTGGTGCTATTTCTGGTTTCTTTAGTTATGACAATGTTCAAGTTGGTGACTTGGTTGTGAAAGATCAGGTAAGTGGAGCTACTCTTCTTCACTTTCATTTTCCCATAAAAAAACTTCAAATTAGGTAACCTATTAATTTTTTTCTTTACAAGGAATTTATTGAGGCTACTAAGGAGCCAGGTCTTACATTTTTGGTGGCCAAATTTGACGGGATATTAGGACTTGGGTTTAAGGAGATTTCAGTTGGGAAAGCTGTACCAGTGTGGTATGCGAGCATTTTAACTTCTATCAGCTAATTAAGATTCTTCTTTGTATCAGGAGTTTATCTTGGACCACTTGTTCATTTTACAGGTACAACATGATCAAGCAAGGTCTTATCAAGGACCCTGTATTTTCATTTTGGCTTAACCGCAATGTTGGGGAAGAAATGGGCGGTGAAATTGTTTTCGGTGGGGTTGATCCAAACCATTACAGGGGCAAACACACATATGTCCCTGTAACAAAAAGAGGCTACTGGCAGGTTGACTTTTCAAACTTAAATCATCATGTGCAGATAGATGCTTTATATACTGTTTTGCATTTATCTGTTTTCTTAATTATCGTTTCCTTTTGGTAGTTTGACATGGGTGATGTTCTTATTGGTGACGAACCGACTGGTATGTTTCTTCCAATGCCTATAGTACTTTTAAAGTGGGATTAAATAATTTCTTCAAGATCTTCAATTACCTTCTTTCAAGCAACAACATTTCGTGGAATTGATCTGTGTGGTACTGACCTGGGCATTTTCTATTCAGGATATTGTGCTGGAGGCTGTGCGGCAATTGCAGATTCTGGAACTTCTTTGCTTGCAGGTCCAACGGTAAGCCATAATAATGATGTCTTAATTTGTATGTCAGAACATATGGTAGTATTGCTTTTAAATAGTTGATAATAATCACTTGGGGAAGCTTTCTTAATGCTAAGTCCATGCTGTTCTGTCTTACTTGTTAACCTACTTATTGATGTGATTCTCTGCTCTCTGTATGTCTTGGTGCAGACTGTAATAGCCATGATAAACCATGAAATTGGTGCCACTGGAGTGGTTAGTCAGCAGTGCAAGGCCGTGGTTCAACAATATGGGCAAGCCATTGTTGATTTACTTTTAGCTGAGGTGACTTCTAGTTTTACTCTGAATTTAAATGGCTGTCCCTTTTTTCCCATATGTATGGGGTAAGGGGGAGGTAAGATAGTAGGCTGCCCCCAACACCAGGTTGAGAGCAGCTTCCGTAGGAGACCTCCAAATTATGAAATGCCCTCCGTGGGACTTGATCCCACGACCTCAAGGTTTAGAACCTTTTACTCTGAATTTAAGTTATCATATAAAGTTGCTGTTAACTTGTATCCAATTTGTAAAACTTCAGCAGCGTGATTGGTTTTCAGGTTCTATACTCCATTCTTAATGACTGGTTTTCCCCTACAGGCACAACCAAAGAAAATCTGCTCACAAATTGGATTGTGCACTTTTGATGGTGCTCGTGGTGTAAGGTCAGGCCCTGAAGTCTTTGTGTGTGTGTGTGTGTTCAATTGAATACAATTTTGCTACTTTGTTTAAAGCGGATAACTAATGGTCATCAAATGTATTTATATAGCATGGGCATTGAGAGTGTGCTGCAAGAGAGCAACAGCAAATCATCTGGAGTTCAAGACAGTGCTATGTGCCCTGCTTGTGAGATGACAGTTGTTTGGATGCAGAACCAATTAAGGCATAATCAGACTCAAGACACCATACTAAACTACGTCAATCAGGTGACATGTGATGCAATACTCATGCTTGTTCAATAATTCATGAGTGCAGTCCTTCCAATCCTCTGATTCTTACCTTTTGATACTTGTGCAGCTATGTGACCAGATGCCAAGTCCATTGGGAGAATCTGCCGTCGACTGCGAGAGTCTTTCGTCCATGCCCAAAGTTTCCTTCACTATTGGTGACAAAGTTTTCGACCTTGCCCCGGAAGAGGTAAATAAAACACAACCAAAATTTGTCAGTAGTATGTCAACATCTGCATACCCAGGTTCAGATTCACATTCAGATTGGATTCCTCATCGCTCTTTAGTTTCCAACTTTTGGGATGGTTCTTATATATGATGCTTAAATGTTCATTTCATGCTCGTGAAATTTTCCCTTTGTCCAATGTCAAATTTCTCAAGCCTATATGAATAGTTGAGAACTTATCCTACTGATGTTAATTATGTCTTGGGTGGTATCATCAGTATATTCTCAAGGTGGGTGAAGGTCCCCAAGCTCAGTGCATCAGTGGCTTTACTGCTTTGGACGTTCCTCCTCCTCGTGGGCCTCTCTGGTACGTCATTTACCTCCACAACTTACTAAGTAATAATCTTATATATATATATATCAATTCATTAGAACCATTTTCATATTATTTTGGTCCTCTCTGTTTGATGCAGGATTTTGGGAGATGTTTTCATGGGCCGCTACCACACCGTCTTCGATTTTGGTAAACTGAGAGTCGGCTTCGCGGAGGCGGCGTAAAAATATCTATGACCATGGATAGGGGACCCTAGATTTTAATCTCCATCCATGTCTCTGTTATATTTATCTTTATAAAGATGTTTGGAAATATTATGCATTTGTCTCGGCCTAAATTACGTAGAATGGTGCTTGTGTTGCTTGTAAATATTTTATGTTCAGTTGCTCTGTGACGTTTAACATGGTTGAAAGTTGCATATGCTGCTTTGTTTTATCAATGATTTGGTTACTTATTAATCAGTTTATACATCCATTTCTTCTTGCATATGATGGGCTTTTTCTCTTCCAATTATTAACCTTCCTTGTCCCGGTTGTTGCTGAATAAGCACAAAGTATTCTTTTTTCAATATGTATTTTCAGTACGTCAAGTAAAAATCTCATCCATTCAACATTTAATTTCCTACTTAAATCAAACACATCAAACCCAAAATGCAAAGAGAAGCTAATTTCTCTAACCTGTTCCTTTTCTTGGGATCTATCTTTTCTGTCCACACTTACACAGCAACTCACAAATCCACTTCACAATCCCAGAGTAACTAGATTAAAACTGATAACGATACAAGAAAAAACATTTTCGCCACAGGTTCTCATTTCTTTCAAGTATTCTTCTTACTACCTGAATGTGACGCACTCTGGTCCAATGACTCCAACTGGTTCCGTAGGTTTTGATTTTCCTCGAGCAACCGATCGTACTCGAGAAGAAAACCTTCGGACTGTTTCCTTAAAGCAACTGCATTGGCTTCTGCAGCATCCATCTCTTTTGTCTTATTCTCAATATCAGACTCCAGATGCTTCAATTTTGCCTTGAGAGTGGCTATTTCTCCCTCCAAGGCATTAGCTTTGTCCGAGCCATTCGGTTTTCCATCCTCGAACGCGGGACCCTGTTTCTTGATAGCTTCCATGCTCTTCCTTCGAATCCGAAGTTCTCTGATATAGTGATGCAATCTGTCTATCATCAGTCCTAGGAACAGTACTCCCCCTGTAATGAATTACCCCAAATTAATCAACGTTTAACAGAGCAATAAGACCCGACTTAACAACACCATGAAATCCAAGAAGAATTAAACAGCTCAATTGGTGCCATTCTCGAGTGCATCACAAGCTGGAGACAGGCGAGGTACCATCATTTCTCTGGGCTGTGTCATGTTGGCATCAGGAGCACAGCCCGGTATTGTCTTGCGGATAGGACGCTTATACAGGTGACGAATCCTTCTCGACTTCGAGTGGTTGGTTGGGACTTGAGTAAAACACCAGCTTATATGCATGATGTTGGTAGTCATTTATGGGATCCGTCAACTTGCGGGTCGACGGACCGTGATAAGAGTGGTCGATCCTAAAGGTAGGAAATCTACGTGTAGTTAGAAAATAAATATAATTTGATTTTAAATTAATCTAATGGTTAGAAATAATAGATCATATAAACAAATTTTACTTTTGATTAATATATGAGGAGATTAAAATAATTTTTTATGAGTTTAAATCAGAAAAGAAAGAAGTTGTTCGATGATTCTTTTATATATATAAAAAAGCTCATTATATTGTTGGATTCTTTTAAAAAAATTTAATGTCATCAATTTAGTAGTCTAAACTTCAATGATCAAAATAAAAAAAATTCATAACGATTATTATTTCAGTAAACTTTTTAAATTTAGTGACTAAAATAAAAGCGTATTAAAAGACCAGTGACTATTAGTGTACTTTACCATAGTTTCTAAATGGATTTAGAAGAACCTCACATAGTAAGATAGAACAAACTAGGTTCCAGCAGCACAGTAGTGAAAGATCAGGCAACAAAAGAGCGATTAGATTTGAAAAGAATCCAAGGAAGAACTAATTTTACCCAAGAGAGTAGCTTCGAGAAGGTGTTTGGCCATGAGGATCTGGTCCGTCATATTAGCCGCACCATCATCGATCCAACGCTTCCGGATCTTCATCACGCTGTACACGCTCGACATCATCACCATGAAAACCGTTCCCGCCACCGTCTTTACCACCACGGGTCCTCGTCCCCTGTTGACCCGATCCAAAATCATTAGCGTGAGCTTCCTAAACGGTGTCCTGAATGATAATACAATGATCACCGCAATCTCTGAGAAAATCACCACGAACAGTAACTGATTCATCTTTAACAAATTTCCTTTATTTTGAAGAACACAGAAAAAAAGGTCGAAATTAAAGAAAAAAAGTTGATTTCCTTTCCTTCTTATTTAAGGGTGGGAGTTGATAATTTGAATCTGTAAGGAAGCTGTGTGACAGTGTGATGTTGAGAGTTGGGAAAAATAAAAGAGACAAAACGTAGTTAATCCGTGTTAGTAACGTGGAACTGTTTATCTTTGAAGTATTCGGGTTATTTTTCTAAAAGATCCTTAATTTTTAATTACTTCTATTTCAGGCTTAGAATTTTGAGTCTTTTTACTACCTTATTAATTAAAAGGCTGAAAGTGAGCTTTTATCTTATTTTTAATTAAAAAAATTAATCATAAAACTGACTTTAATAAATACAAGTCTTGAATTCCAAGTAATCTGACCCGTGCTCATTCATCTACCTCAAACCCTAGTTGTAAGTTTGATTATGGGCAATTTTACGAAAAATGTTTTGATTTGATTCAATTCTTTAAAATTATTAAATTTATTTTTGATATAGTATTATTTTACGTTTACAGTTTAAACTTATTTATATAAATAATTATATTTATTTAATATAAAATTAAATTGATATATTTATTTTAGAAAAAAATACAATTAAATCGAAATCAGAATTTCATACGTAGAATTATGTAAAATCAACTTCATTTAAACATGGTTAATATTATTAAACACTAACTGATATCTAGGTCTAATTATAGGCATTGTCCATACAGTCTTCAAGTTTTTCAAATTTCACCATTATACTTTTAAGTATAATAATTTAGTCCATCTATTTGTCTAATTTATATATTAAGTTCCAATCAATAGTATTGTTAATTGTTTTTCTTAATTTAAATAAGTACTGTCACATATTCAAATTTAACGAAGAATCCACTAGCAATGCTATCGATTAGACTTTCATTTTTAAAACTATATAAGTAGAGAGGAACTAAATTCTTTAAACTAAGAAAATCGAGAACTAAATTTCAAAAGACTGAAAAATATGAGGATTAGGAACATAATTAATCATTGATAGTAAAGCCTAGAAGGTGGAAGACGAAGTTCCATATTATAAAACTGTCGGCAAACCTTTGCTACCTCTACGTGTTGCTCAACTATTTATTATTTAACATTTGGGTCTCCTCTAAACCTTATATATTCCCCTAATTTCCTTTATTAAACATATTATTATTTTCTATGGATAGAAGAGGTTGTGCAACGTGGTTTGTCATCGACAATGACTACATCCACACATGCAAGCAAGACTGCAAGAGCTTGCATAACTTGTTATTAGATAAGATCCTGTATTTTTTTTTATTTTGAATTCTAGACATTGATTAAATTTAAATTTAGTGGATTAACAGAATGATATAGTGTTAGCAGACTTAAACCAACTCGACTTGATTTGACCGAACTGATTTGATCAAAACCAACATGACTATTCCTTGCTCGTGAATATGGCTGGACAACATTTTTATTTATCAAAATACTTACATTAAAACCATATATAAAAACATCGTAGTTGGCTTCATACATTCAATTTACAGAAAAAGTTCCAAGATCAGACAGTTAAAGAACAGTCATTGTCAAGGAATTTACACCATTTCTTTTAGCTATATACATAAGATTGCATTGTATTGCATCATGCTAAAAGCAAAGGGGAACCAAATGTGTTTTCTCCACTGTAAGTCATATAAAGAAACCCGTCTTCGTCCTTGTTTTCCTCGTAGATCGCAGACATCAAGGCGGCTGCAACGAAAATAAAGAAACAAGCCTCACAAGTAGAACGTAAAAGTGCTGCTTTAAGTTATAATACTCAAAACTTTAACGTGTTATTAACTCACCGGTAGGCGGGAGAGTGTTCTTCACAAAGACGAATATAGCTTTCTCAGCACTAAGCTTAATTCGTTACGGACAACATAAACAAATTGCCCCACAGTCAAATCAGCAGGAACAAGAAACCTGAAGCCATAATCAGAGAAGAATATTAAGGAAAAGAACACTGACTGGAATACACGTAGGATTATCTTGTTCGGTTCTTAAGAATCCATTAACATTGACAACCCAAGCAAACAATTACATGAGACATTATTCTCTAGAAAGTGAATCTGGCAAGTAACATATTACATAACAAGAATATTGATCGATCTTCATCTAATGCGTCATAGCCAAAGACTTCACAAGCATGCCAACAAGTAAATTGAATAACTTTTGGATAAGTTTGAGGTCATACTACAACAAGAGAAATTTTAATATAAAGGCAAAATGCTACTAACTTCTTTTTATCGATCAATGACGTGAAAATCATGCTTGAGGGACTTCATTGTTCCGATGCGGAGAAGTTGGATGAAGTAGTCTCCTTGCTCCGTGGACAAGCGAGAATTTGGAGGACTAATGTTACATTGAAGATGTATGGTGATCAAGTAACTTGGTCCTTGTTTTTAGAGGAATTCAAGCATAAATACATAGGAGATCAGTTCATCCGACAGATAAAGCAAGAGTTTATGAATTTGAAGTAATGGAATCGCACCGTGTATGAATACGAGTGTGAATTCAACAAGTTGAGCCGCTTCGTTACCGAGCTTATTCCTACAGAGAAGGATGTTTGTGATTGGTTCGTTGAGGGATTGCGTCCTCGGTTGAAAGAGATGTTAATTGTATTGAACCTAACTTCATTTCAAGAAGTAGTCAACCGTGCCAAAGCCCTAGAAAGAGCCCAGAATGAGAGATTTGGAGATACAAGAGCTCAGACATCGAAAAGAACGGGTGCTTCTTCGAGTTTTGCACCTTTAAAAAAGAGCAGAGATGTTGGTTCTCGACCCCAAGCTAGATCAGAGTCAGTGGAATCCTCCGCTAGAGGATCAAATCCGATGAGAGGCAGACAAACTCAGTCAGCGGGATCTAAAGCTGGGAGATCTAACCAAGGCCAAGTCAGACATGTCCACATTGTGGAAGGAATCACTTGGGGATATGTAGAATGATTTCTGGAGCCTGCTTTAAATGTGGGGACACGGGGCATTTTGTTTGAGATTGTCCCATGATAACCGGTGAGTCTGCGCAGCCAGAGAGGTATGCTTCTGTAACTCAGAGGGGAAGAGGTAGAGGAAGGAGTCAGTTAGAGTCCTCTGCTCAACAAGAGATACGTTCAATAGCTCAAGTGTATAACCTCAAGACCAATAAGGATCGAGATGACCCTGAGATAATAGCAGGTATCTTTCAATTGTATGACAAGAGTGTTTTGGTATTGATTGATTATGGTTCTACTTATTCTTACATTAGCAGTAAGTTAGTAAGGGAATTGAACATTCAGTTCGAAGCTACTAGCAATGAGGTGATATAACAAATCTGTTAGGTTACAGTGCTCGGGTCAATATGGTGTGTAGAGGGTGTCCTATACGGATTCAGGGAATTGAATTCCCATGCTAATCTGATGGAATTACCCTTCGACGAATTTGAAGTGATACTGGGAATGGATTGGTTATATCGTTATCACGCTAATGTCGATTGTAGATTAAAAAGAGTAATGTTGAGAAGTCCAAAAGGTGTAGAAGTCATTGTATTTAGTGAAAGATGGAATTCATTGGGAAATGTGATATCAGTGATGACTGCAAAGAAATTACTGCTACAGGGATGTCAAGGGTTCATTGTTAATGTGTTGGATGTTAGAACCAATGAGAAGGGGATTGAAGAAATTCCCATAGTTAGAGAGTTTTTCGATGTATTTCTTGTAGAGTTGTTGGGTTTACCTCTAGACAAAAGAAGTGGAATTCCAGATTGAAATAATGTCTGGAACTGCACCTATTGCCATAGCACCATACAGAATGCCTCCAAAAGAGTTGCAAGAGTTAAAGATACAGTTACAGGAATTGTTGGACAAAGGATTTATAAGACCTAGTGTTTCGCCCTGGGGAGCTCTAGTGTTGTTTGTCAAAAAGAAGGATGGGTCAATGGGTCTCTGCATCGACTACAGGCAGCTCAATAAAGTAACCATTAAGAATAAGTATTCTCTCCCTAGAATCGATGATTTATTCGATCAGTTGAAAGGAACTTCGGTCTTCTTTAAGATTGACTTGCGATATGGATATCATCAATTCAAAGTTCAGGAAAAAGATATTTCAAAGACCGCATTTAGAACTAGGTATGGCCACTATGAGTTCAATGGGATGTCTTTCAGAGTTACAAATGCACCAGCTGCCTTTATAGACCTAATGGATAGAATATTCCAACCTTATCTAGATCAATTCGTAGTGGTTTTCATCGATGACATATTGGTGTATTAAAAAACAAAAGAAGATCATGGTGCACACAATAATTTTGTAGATTCTACGAGACAATAAGTTATATGCCAAGTTATCCAAATGTGATTTCTGGTTGAATGAAATAATATTTCTCGAACATGTGATTTCTGCGGAAGGAATTTGAGTAGATCCTCTGAAAGTAAAAGCTATTCTCAAATGGGATGTTCCCAAGAATGTATCTGAAGTTCGAAGCTTTCTGGGACTTACTGGTTACTATCGAAGGTTCGTTAAGAACTTTTAAATGATCGCTTTACCTTTGACTAAGCTGATGAGAAAAGGTGTGACATTTGTGTGGACTCCTGAATGTCAAGAAAGTTTTGACATGTTGAAAAAGATTTTGACAGAAGCTCCAATATTAGTTCAACCTGAGTCTGGTAAAAACTACGTGGTGTATAGTGACACGTCCCATAATGGTTTGGGATGTGTATTAATGCAAGAGGGCAAAGTGGTAGCGAATGCGTCGAGGCAATTAAAACCGTACGAGAAGAATTATCCGACGAATGATCTGGAGATGGCTGCAGTGGTGTTCGCTCTTAAGATCTAGCATCACTACTTGTATGGTGAACGATGCTATTTGTATAAGGATCATAAGAATCTGAAGTATCTGATGACTCAGAATGAGTTAAATTTAAGGCAAAGAAGATGGGTGGAATTTCTAAAAGACTATGATGTAGTAATCAATTTCTATCCTGGAAAAG